TAATTTAAAGTTTTCAATTAATATATGTGAAATTTATAACCAAAAGGTGCATGTAAGGCTACTAAGGAATAAAATTTAAAATAAATTCAAATTTATTTTAGTGGTTTTATTGTAACTCTTAAATTATTTTCATTGTTATAAAAGAGAAAATAAATTTGAAAAATATATACTTAAATATTTTTTTGAAACATAAGATATGCAAGATATCTTAAAAGATCTTATGTAACTAATATATTTTTTAACCATGAATAAAAATAATATACATTTTATGAAATAAAAAATTTGATTGATAACATTTTTTCTTTAAAAACTTATAAGAAAAAATCATTTTCAGAAACGAAAAAGGAAGGAAATAAATTTCAACTAATATTACCTCTTTTACTAACCGATTTTAGATAAAAATGATAATAAATTTAATTTTGGTAAGCATTTAATTAATTTAAACTAAATTTTAAAATATTAAAATAGCATTACTTTGAAAGATATTCTGGTCATCTCTTAAAACAGGTCTCTTAATCGGGTCTTGGAATTAAATCTTATTTTCGAATATCTAAAAGATTTAATAGGTATTATAATTTTCAATTAAGGAAATAGTTTAGGTGAAAAATCTCAGTTTTTTTTATGTTTTTCATTAATATTTCTAAATTTAAATATTTCGTACATTATTAAACTTAAAACATTTAATTTACCTTATTTCAAGTAGATTAAAGATTTAATTTTATATTAAAATTGTTTACAATTACAATATTTATCATATTTTTCTTTTTTGTTAACATTTTATCAGATTAGTTTATCATATACTTTTGCCAATAGTTAAATTTTATTCATAAGGTATTTATAAATAGATTATCCAAATTTATGAAATTGTTATATATCACTTATGTTATCTTTCAACCGATATACAATTTTTGTAAATTATATTAAAAGATTGCATTTTCTTATACACCGTTGAGGTAATGTCCGTGATTGATAAATTTAACGGTTTTAGGGAAAATATAATATATACGTACTTATATTAAAACCAGACCTAATTACTATTGTATATATTATTTACTTTCTATACAGTTAAAATATATAAATCAACACGCGATTTAACTCTATAGAATTAAAATTAAAATATACAAGACTATTATGTTTATCCTATATTATTGAATACTAAATATTAATACAAATCCAATTATATCTTTAGTTTAAAAAACATCATCCGTGCGAAAACACGGGCCATCCTCTAGTTAAAAAAAAAAACAGCAGCCACAAACCATAAAACTTTCCTCTTTCCTTCTTTCTAGTTTCTTCAATCTCCACCGCTTCCTAAAATTGTAACCTTTTTTTTTTTTCGTTTTTGACTTTAATGGCGGATTGGGCTCCAGTTCTCGTCGGTGTGGTCCTGTTCGTGCTTCTCTCACCGGGTCTTCTCTTTTCAATACCTGGTAACAACCGCACTGTAGATTTCGGTGGTCTCAAAACCAACGGCAAAGCCATTGCTGTTCACACTCTCATCTTCTTCGCTCTTTACTCCATTTTGATCCTCGCTGTTAATCTCCACATCTACACTGGCTGAGAGAATCTGATCTCATCCTCTGTCTCTTCACTATCTCTTTTTTGTTGTTTTTTAAAATAAAGGTTTGCCCTTTTTTGAAAAATGGGTTTTTAGAACTAGAAGAAACTCTATAAAATTAGAGTTTTTTTTTTTTTTTTTTTCTTTCATAGTTGTTGTAACAAAACAGATTTGGTGAAAAGGGTTGTGTTTGTATTGTGATGTATCGTTACTCAAATGTATTAGTTTGTTACTTTTACTGAAATGTGTTTTTATTTGCTTAGCTTTTGTTAAAAATTACAACTTTTTATTAGCAGTAGCGAACAGTTGAAGCTAAAGGAAGAGGAGAAATGTTGTAGAAAGACTACAGATTTGTACATACATTGGAAATTTAGAAATGGATGTGAATTTGTATAGCAATCACCAAGATTGTGAGTATACAAAAGTATATAAATGCGTGAATCAAAATAGCTATACCGCTTGTGGTCATGTTTCCAAATTCAACCACTCTAGTCCTCGCAGGAAGCTGGAAGAGTAGTCCTGGTGAGAGTAGGATGAAGAGTGACACCGCTACAATCACTGGTCCCCAATCCGTGCTCATATGTAACGGTTTTGAGACTCTTCTCTTCGTAGTGTTTTGTATTGAAAATGCTTATGTGAATTGTGTGTATAAAGATTGTTTGTTTGTTCTTTTGCTGATGAAGATGGAGACAAGTGGAGAGTTATGTAGAAGAAGATGAGTGAGTGAGTGATGACTCTTTTTGGCTTTTCTTGGTGGCTAAGGAGAAGGTAGAAGAGGTTAGGATACAAAGCTTAGTGATAGGTTACGAGGAAAGGGCATTGTATTCTTTATTGGCTCTGCTTTTGTGAACTTATCGTCTTCTTTCTCTTTTGTGATTGTTCAATCAGTTGTTTCTATGCTCTTTGGTGTTGTTTGCTTTTTGTTAAAGAATTTGAAATAAAGTAGATTACTGCATAAAGATGGTATATCAAGAATTGTGTCCACTTGGTTGTTTTCTTAGTAGTTTGGTTTACCTTTTTGTTTGTATCTCTCTTGAGTCTTGGGAGTAACACTGGACCCAGTTTGCTTTCGGTTTTCGATCTTCTGTTAGCTGATTGAATCCAGTCTAATAAGTATTAAGTTCAATACCTCTGTTTCTTGCGATTGATCTATGCTTTATTTTATCCCTATGGATCTTTCAAAATGTTATAAACTTCAGCTTTTTTAGTTGTTGTTAGGCTTGCACTAATGGTGTTGCATTCGAGCTCAAGAGGCAAAGAGGGTCAAATCTTGCTGTACCGGGCAGACAATATAGATTTATCAATGATTGGTTTGGATAAGAGATATTGGTGATAGTTTATGAGCAGTTAAACCTGTGGCCAAATCAGGTATAGGTGCTACTTTGAATACTGTTTAAATTGGGATACAAGAGTTTCATACATGAGCACATTGCCTTAAACTAAGACTAAATAACCCATTTTGATTACACATTAATAGATAGTGATTTTTTGTACTATATTATATATGTGGATTTGATAGGAGAGAGCTTTGCTTGGAACCTCAATGGAGGTTTCTTGAAGTGAGTATTTATTTATCTTCACAGCTCCAGAACAAGATCTGCAAAAAACAAGCAAATGATATGACAACCTTGAGAGAGAGGGAAATGAAAAAACCAAATAGTGTTATTTGTGTTCATTGTTCTGTATATACAGACAGCATCTTGACTTACACTCTGTGTCGGTCTTGATCCAGTTTTCTCTCTTCCTGTTCGTATCCGAGATGGAACTTGCACCAAGAAACCCTCCAGTAAGAAGACTAGGGACCTTGAGATCCACTTTTCTTCTGTCATCTATCTTGTTATCGTCTCTTATAGGTGTGTAGAGAACAGGATGGACTTTACGTCGACATGTTTGAGCACTCTATAACCAAAACAGAAACCACATTTATCTTTCAGAATTCTTCAGACCAGTCTTTAGGTAACCATTTGAAAATGCTTAAAGCTAAAAGACTAACCTTTCTAAGATCTTTCTTCTTGGGCATAAAATCTTCATCATCATTTCTAATCTTTGTAGAAGCTCCATGAAGCTTTTCAAATACATTTTTAATCACATCGCTTGTGTTGTGTTTCTCTATGTAAGGCTCTCCTTGTTCTGATTGTCTCCTCTTGAATAGGCTCGTAAGTAAACTCTTTTTCTTCTTTACTCTTCCATTGTTTCTCTTCTTAAGCTCAATGGACGTTCCAAAGTGATCATAATCGTGTAGAGGACATGCATAGGACTCTTTATCTTCTTTTGCATTCGATCTTTCGACCCGCTTACTGGTTGTGTCCTCAGGTTTTTCCTTTAGAAACTTATCTAGTTTCTCAGTAACGAGCTTGGCCATCTCCATTCTTTCTCGAGTTACATCTTCTTCTGCAACCATAGCTGAGAACTTTGGTGTCTCAGGGTCTGTACCAAGCGTCCCAATGGCAAGAAATCCGCAGAAACCGTCTTCATCAAACCGAAGTTCCTGTTCAACTTTGGGTGGATTCTTGTGATGAGATGATCCGGAGAAGGAGAAGGAGTTTGTGCGGATGTCTTGGACGTCAGAGAAGACCTTAGCTCTTAGACAACCGAAACCACCTGAAAGTTAGGTTCATTTTTGTTTTATCAAAAAATAGATTAGCTAGAGAGTAAAGAGTATGCTCATTAGAATCAACCAAGAAGACTAACATCTATGTATAACATTGTATGAAGATATAAAGATGTATAGGTTGTTTTCAAAGGTTATATATGTATGAGCTAGATAAAGTTCTTTATGAAATCAAACCTTTGAGCTCTTTTGATGGGTCTAAGCCATTTTGCTTTATAGTTCGCATCCAACTTAGCAGCTGCAAGATATAGAGATATAGGGAGAGAGTTCGTTAAAATGAAATGATTAGTTAATGATAGACTAAGTACAACTATATATAGCTCATTTATCATCACAAAGAAAGAAGAATATTATGATTAGACTTTGACATTAGGATATACGTGTATATATATACTCACCTTCATGTTGTCTTCGCTTGATCTACAGCTTCTATTATTTTTATTTTTCAATTTACTCTTAAGGTTTATCTATATATAGGTGTAGATGTAGTAGGCAAGTTTGAGCTAGAAGGATCCGAATCTTATGATTGATTTTACAACAGTACATGATATTGTTGTCCGGTCGTCTTGTGTCGTAATGTGTTGAGGATTCACATATATAACATTACTATATAGATTTGCATTTATAGGACTTTATTTACGTACGATGAGACGTCACAGAATTAAGGAAAGGTTGTTCTCGAGCTAAAAGGTGTGTGTGTAATTTGTATACGGAAGTCTCTGGCTGATCGAGGCCGAGAGAGATGATAGGGTATAGTATCCCACTTGGCCACTTCTCCAAACTTTGTTGGGACATGTTTGTGAAAACTTCTTATCAGAACCGACGCGTGTATGATCAGTACGTTCATGACATGACACAACATAACGCAATCGTATTATTGGAGTGTGTCGTGTGTGTGTATACTGTTTCTTCTTGCATGCTTTTTTGCTTTTTAATTTCCCTTAAAAGGAAAACGATACACATCTTCTAAAGGAAATGTTGTTTTCAGTCTCTAAAAATAATTGGCGTGCAAGCAATAGAAGCCTCTAGCTCGCACAGAGATTTTCACTGTTTTGTCCTGGCTCTGCCACGTCACCGACATTTGTTATTAAAGTGTGACATCTAAGGGAAAATGATAGATATAGGAGGCAAATGGTTGCACAATTTAAGAGGTTGAAGAGGTTGAAAATTTTTTTTTAACTAGTTTTTACCATTTGAGTTGAAGAGGTTGGAAAAATTATTCAACCCGTTCAACTTAACAAATTGAAAAAATGAACTAATTATACAGGAAATTCGTTCAACTCATTCATCTCCTATTTTGCTGATGAATAGGTTGAATGCTATTCAACTTTTTTTATTCAACTTATTCTTTTCCAACTCTTTCATTTTTGTGCAACCATTTCCACCCGATAGGACCCCAAAAATAGTTTTGAAACATTATATTAAGCATTGTTAATTATATCATTATGTATGAACTAACCAGAGTACAGTTAGCCAACCAGATATTGGTACGTAGGTTTTCAATTCGAGCCTGAGATAAACCCGACCGATGTGAACTACACCAGAAGTACTCGGCCAACCAATTAAAGGGTTAAGACTTAAGAGTATTTGAGGTCTTGAATCCAAGCTATGGCAATGAGAAGATGACTGAAAATATCTAATTTAAAATCCCATGGTTATAAGGTATATTGTTAATAAACAAAGAAACAAGAAGCAAACTTATAACATTGTACGTTGTGTGTCCCAGAGTACACAAAAAAGGAGAAAGAGCTATTTCATATGTGAGCTTTTAAGATCTTTCTTCTCCTTTATATATATCATTCTGATCGATACATGTGAGGACTCTTTTGTATCGTACACTAAATTATCATCGCACTGTTCACAAATCACATGCAAAAAAACTGACAAATTAATGTTAAGTGAGAATCATGCGTGATGTTTCACAGTTTTTCTTTCCTGGTCCCATTTGTTTTGTAATTCTTGTAGCTAGGTTTGCAAATTTTTAGGTGCCACCAAGACTTGTGATCGCCGAATTTGCTACGTACATGCATGTTTTCAATCTCTATTCGTTGATAATACTGACGTACGTCCACAAATCAAAAGTATGGCATTGACACCAAGTCACCAACGTAACCATATGTTTGGAATTTTGATAATATATCACAAAATACATTGGTTGCAAACATCACGCATGATTCTCATAAATATATCAACCGAGTATTCAAATATGAATAACTGAGTTTCGAATATGACACTATGCATATTCATTAAAACGATTAACACTTGCAAGTTTTGACCTAAGTATATAATGCTATATTGCTATTGAATGATTGAATCTATCTATATTCTACATCGACTTTGTTATAACTTAGAACATGCATCTTACATTATGCTTAATTCGCTTGCTCCTATATCAAAATCTTATAGATCAATCTTGAATCATTGTCTCCCACATCATATTTGTTTAGTAGGCTACAATATTTTATGCGACGCTTTTGAATGCTCTATTGGATATTAATATAGTACGGCCCAGCCCAAATGAATCTTGAGCCCAACAAACAAAAATAAAACTATAAAACGACCGTTACAAAATTTTAGTGGAATAAAATAATCTGAAACACGAGACGAGAGAGAGACGGAAGAACGAAGAAAAGAACAAAATTACATTAATTGCTCGTAACTTCGTATCAATCCCATTCTCTTAACAGATAAAAAATTTATTGTCTCGATGTAAACCTTAACGTAACAGACTAAAATTACACGTGGCGATTTCTCATTCGACCTACTCCAAATCACGTTGCGTCTAATCTTTGATTTTTTTTTCATTCTTCTCTTCTCTTCCAAATCCTAACTAACCAAACCTCTCACAAATCCTCTCATAACCATTTTCTCCATAGATCCTCTGATCCATTTTCTCGGAAACTTTTGGCGAAATCCGCGGTGAAGAGATAGCTTAAACAATGGGGACGGAGATCCCTAGATCGGAGGAGATATCGGAGGCATTGTTACGACCGGAATCGGAGAAAACAGCGACGTCGGCGGCGGACGAGCATGTGCCTGAGTGGAAAGAGCAGATAACGATTCGAGGATTGGCTGTTAGCGCTTTGTTGGGGACTTTGTTCTGTATCATTACTCATAAACTCAATCTCACGGTTGGGATCATACCGTCGTTGAACGTCGCCGCGGGATTGCTCGGGTTCTTCTTCGTCAAGTCGTGGACTGGTTTCTTGTCGCAGCTTGGGTTTACGGTGAAGCCGTTTACTAAGCAAGAGAATACTGTTATTCAGACTTGTGTTGTTGCTTGCTATGGCCTCGCCTTTAGCGGTATAAAACCTTGTTTTACTCATCAAGATCTGTATTCGAAAATCGGATTCTTAGTTTTCGAATTCTGGAACAGTATTTGTTTTTGCGATTGTTCAATAGTAGTAATTGTGGTTTTGATCGAGAAGAATCTGATTGGTTGACTTTGTTGAATTGATCTGTAGCTATTTCTGAGATTTTATTGATTGTGATTACTTACTATTATAAGGATTTGGTATGGGTTGGTCTTTTGTTTTGCTTCTTATTTGATATTGATTTGTCAATTTCAGGAGGATTTGGTTCATACTTGATTGCTATGGATGAGAAGACATACAAGCTCATTGGTGCTGATTATCCGGGAAATCATGCGGAAGATGTTATAAATCCTGGACTATGGTGGATGATTGGGTTTTTGTTTGTAGTCAGCTTCTTGGGGCTCTTTAGTCTCGTTCCATTACGCAAGGTAGCAATCTCAATAGCGTAGATTATAGATAGTGTCCTTTCACTATTGTTTGGTCCTTCTCCTTTACTCACAAGTATATCTCAGGTGATGGTTTTGGACTACAAACTTACTTATCCTAGTGGAACCGCCACAGCAATGTTGATTAACAGCTTCCATACCAACACTGGAGCTGAGCTTGCAGGGTAAATGTTGTCAAGATTCAATAGTCATTTCATTTTGCTTTCTGGAAAACCATATCTTTTGTTTATTGAACTTGTGTCTGTAATGTTGGTCAATACAGGAACCAGGTCAAATGTCTTGGAAAATACCTGAGTCTTAGCTTAATTTGGAGTTGTTTCAAGTGGTTCTTCAGTGGTATTGGAGATGCATGTGGGTTTGATAACTTCCCCACCCTTGGTTTGACGCTATTCAAGAACACGTAAGTTTATCCTATCTCTTGACGAGTTTGATACAGCTTTTATGTACGAGATTATTATTTCAGTAATGATTCTGTGAGGATTGAGAATAAGTTTATAGCTGGAATATGTTTTCTGCTACTTTTTGAAGGTATGTGGGTGCAATTTTTAACTAGTCCGGATTCTTTGCTGCACAGGTTTTACTTTGACTTCAGTCCTACTTATATTGGATGCGGTCTTATATGCCCCCATATAGTAAACTGCTCGGTTCTTCTCGGTGCAATAATCTCTTGGGGAATTTTGTGGCCATTCGTATCACAGCATGCCGGGGATTGGTATCCAGCTGACCTTGGGTCCAATGATTTTAAAGGTCTCTATGGATATAAGGTACAGTATAAGCAGCCTAATTAGAAAACTTTTCATAAAACCACATTTTCATGTCAAAAGGGAGGATATTAGGTGAGGTTCAAGTACTAAAGTTTTTGTGTCGTTTCTGAATTTTAAGGTCTTTATCGCCATTGCCATTATCCTTGGTGATGGTCTCTACAATCTTGTCAAGATCATTGCTGTCACTGTGAAGGAAATATGCAGCAGTAGGTCAAAACGACTCAATCTACCCATTGTTACCGACGTTGTAGGTGAGAGAATATTAGATCCTGACTCATCTCTTACATGTTTTTGTATTAACCAATAACTTGTTTACTCTCATGGCCACTTCTAAATACTGTTAACTATAAGTTTTTAAATTCCTTAACTCAGATGACAGCGAAGCCTCTGAGATACTGCTGGTCAAAAAGAAAAGAGATGAAGTATTTCTTAAGGACCGTATACCCCTCGGATTTGCAGTTTCTGGTTATGTGGGTCTTGCTGCTATCTCAACGGCAACAATCCCGTTGATATTCCCACCCTTGAAATGGTACTTTGTCCTGTGTTCTTACTTCATTGCACCTGCTCTTGCCTTTTGCAACTCCTATGGAACCGGGCTCACAGACTGGAGCCTAGCATCAACCTATGGAAAGATTGGTCTTTTCATAATCGCTTCCGTAGTAGGAAGTGATGGTGGTGTCATTGCGGGTTTAGCTGCCTGTGGAGTTATGATGTCAATCGTCTCTACCGCAGCTGACCTCATGCAAGATTTTAAAACTGGTTACCTCACTTTATCATCTGCGAAATCCATGTTTGTAAGCCAGCTTGTTGGGACTGCAATGGGCTGTGTAATTGCTCCGCTCACATTCTGGCTGTTCTGGACTGCTTTTGACATTGGAGA